AATTCAAGTTAGTAAATATTGGTCCCAACCTAAATATCTAGTCACGTTTCAGCTTGAATCATTATGTGATCCACATGTAATCATTCTTTAAAAGGCAAAAATAAATACAAGTTGGGTCAGATCTCACTTTTTTAGCGAAAATATAAATATGGTCAGATCTAACTATAAGTGAGATCTAACCATTTTGTCCTTTAAAAAATGACCATGCATAGGTCACATGATAGATTGAAAATAAAAAGTGATCGAAAATCTAATAAGAAAGCAAATTTTATCGACTTAATTTTGTATAGGATATAAAGTTATTATTTTAAAAATGAAGAACGAAAAAATTCATATAACGAAATTTGGGAGGCATTTTGAACTATTTTTCCTTTTAAAATTAAGTTTGCTTAGGTCTCAATTTATCTGAAACTGTGTAAATAAAAAGGAAGAACACCTTAAGGGGGAAAATAGCCAATTCCATCCCTGACCTTTTCACTAGTGTTGATTTAGTACTTAACTTTTGTTCCTAACCAATTTGATATGTGAACTTATTTTGTAGTTCCAATTAAGGACTTCTGTGGCGGTTTCACCATCTAAAACTAATCTAGCACTTAATTGACCAACTAAACAAGGGTATATTGGGAACATCACTTATGGGGCTATGATAGATCAAGTAAATTGTGTAAAAAATCACAATATTAAAATTTTAAAAAGTTTTACCTAGTATTTTTTTACACGATTTAAAAGTTTTATTTGGTGATTTTTTATACGTTTTACTTGTTTTATTACAGTTTCGTGATAATACCTTTAATTAATTAATTAATTAGGAGCCAGATCAGTTTTAGGTAGTGGTGCCACCGGGAAGGTCCTTAATTGGAATTGCGAAATAAGTTCATGTATCAAATTAGTCAGAAATAAAAATTTGGGACTAAATCGACACTAACAAAAAATTTAGGAACGAAATTGGCCATTTTTCCCACCTTAAGGTGTTTGTGACTTTGCCATGGATCAAATCTTCCATCCTACAAAGATAGACACAACCCTTGTAACACGTGGCAGCAACCATGCTAGCATATCCTGACTGATATAAGAGTGAACAGTTGAAAGTAATATGTGGTTTCTTTCTTGTGGTCTTGGCAACCCCATCACCTCAAATCCCCCCTCCCCCCCCCCCCTCCCCAAAAGATGTTGAAATCAAATTTACACTTCACAAGCAATCTCAGAGTAGGTGGGGTGTTGCTTTCATAAAGGCATTATTATTGTCAAACTTTGGGCAATCGCTTTTATTATTTGCTTTGTACAAAGAAAGTGGCCCTACCGCCACTAATTTTATAGGGGAAAAAAATTAAACAGATAAAGAAAGAGACCCCACAACTGTCTAAATTTAGTTCTGACAGAACTTTGTTACTGACCCTACCCACTTTGTGTAGTGTATGAGATAATAGTATGATATGCACAGCATAATGGATTACATAAGCCCCACCACAATGATTATGAGAGTTTATTTTTTAATATTATATTTACCTCCCTGACTTATAAAATGATCATAATAATCTTAATATATTAATATTTTTCATGTAATTAAACAATTCACTCCTAATCTTATACATATAAATGCATTTCACACAATTAGACTTTTAATAAAAACAAAAACAAGATTCACTTATGGAATAACCAATTATGTTCTAGACATAATTTTAACTTAGGGTTAAAAACAAAAAAACTCCATGTGGTATATCTAATACACTGAAAACCCTCAATGGTTTCAAAACATATAAAACGACACCTTATGTTTTGAACTAAATTATAAATTAACAGAATTCGTTAAATTTAACGGAATCCGATAAATTTAACGAAAATGATGGTTTCAGAAGTTAAGTTTAACGGATTTCGTTAAATTTTCCATTAAATTTATCTGATTCCGTTAAATTTAACGAATTCTGTTAGTTTATAATTTAGTTCAAAACATAAGGTGTCGTTTTATATGTTTTAAAATCACGGAGGATTTTCTGTATATTAGATATACCACATGGGACTTTTTGTTTGTAACCCTTTAATATATTATAAATTAATTTTAGCTTTACTTAAAGGATCTAGAAATGAATAAAAAAAAGATCTAAGTAAAAGATTTCAAAAGGATGGGACTGGCGTTGATACTTTAACATTTGAGAAATAGAATATTATATCAATGCAGTTGGTGAAATTTTTTTAGTTTAATAGTGCTGATCTATTTTTTTTTTTTTTTATCTTTTTTAACTTTGGTTGAGGTTTTAGAAGTTTGGGACTGATGGTGGCCGCTATGGTCATGGTGATAATGGCACTAATTTAAAATGTGGAAATATGAAAGATCTAAAACAGTAGAGATAAAAGTTGAAAGTGGATTTGAGATTTTGTACATGTTACAAATTTTAAAAAAAAAAAATTTTATGAGAAGGTAAAATGAACTTCATAATTTCATGAAAACCTTTTGGATTATTCATTCAAATTTTTTATCATTGAATAGTTTTTGTTACCAAAATGGTAAATTCAAGAGAAGTGTGTGTAATTATTAAAATCTAAAGGAAACTTTGTGAATTTATCAAAAACCTCAAAAGGAGGTTTCTGAAATTATCCATTAAAACAATCCATATAGTCTCTCATCTTGCAGGAAATTCCAGTGTTATTGAAAAGCCGCATTTCTTTTTACAAGTACTAGTATAGCTTATCTGGTAAGGTGTCAAAAATTTCAAGTTTGTAGTTCTCATGTCTTCGGAAATAGGCAAAAGATGCAGTATATTTATCCAAAATAGTGAATTTACCCGAAAACAGAAAATTTACCTAAATCTCTAGACTCATTACCTTGTAATGGGCTGTTTGGCCCTCCTCAGGGCCTTGAGAAAAAAAAAAAAAAAAGAAAGTCATGTTTCGATAAGTGTAAAAGATAAGAATTTTTAACCACAATCCCCTTAATCATTTCCTGCAAATTACTATCCAATAGTGTTGGAGTGCAAGAGGTAATACTTGGAGCTAAAATATCATTAACCGACTAAGAGGCGAGTGACAGATGCCAATTGCACTTATCCGTATTTGACCGCATCATATATAAGACGTCTCATTGACCAACGTGGTTTAACCTAATTGGTGTCAAAAAGAAGGTTTTTACTAATGAAAAATTAAGCCTTAAAAGCCTTTTTTCTTAAAAAAAAAAAAAAAAAAAAAACTTAAAAGGCAGACATTGCCTCCAAGCTGAGTTCAACCAGGCCAAAAGTGTGATTTTGTTTTTGTAATAATTTGGCAAATTATGGATTAAAATAATTGAGGAATATGCTAATTTGCACCTGAAAAAAGTACATCACATCACATTGTCAGATATAGAATAATATGTTTGATGCTATTGTGTAAAGAAAAGAACGAAAGATAACTCAATCAATAGTCTTCTTAATCCAAGTTACTGATTAAAGGCATAAAGCACCCACACACGAAAAAAAAAAGAAAAGAATTACTCGTTAAAAGCAACTTTAGAAAAGGAATCAACTTAAATTGACTAACTGAGCCTAATCAACCGGTTAATTACTTGATTATCTTTGGAAAGGAGTAGATAATAAATCCCCCTAAAGTAAACCAAGGTGGGTAAATGAATCAGTGGCCCTAGTAAATGTAAACGGACTGATAGCAGCAGTTAAATTCTCGAAGATCAAAGCCAACCGTGTCAAGCAGGAAGCAAACGGTCAATAGGAGCAAAACCAAGAAAGTCAGAGTATTCTTTGCTTTGGGCTTTGGAGCTCTTACTACTTACTACTCTCAAAATCACAACCCCAATGCAAATCTACCACGTGTAAATGGTTCATGGAAACTCTTCAAGGACTCTAGGTTTTTTTTTTTCCTATCTCAGAAAAGATTGATAAAGACCCCTCTATCCCACTAGATCTGTATTCAAAAGCACACACAGAAAGAAAATAAAAAAGAAATTGAAAGAAAATTTGGAAAAAGTAAAAGTAAAAGGCAGCAAAAGCCAAGTTTGCTAACTCCGGTGAAGAAAACAAAGGTAAAATAACCTAACCTATAGGCTCTTACTCAAGAACCAAGGTTTTAGAACTTCAAAAACATATTAGTATTGTAAATGGAAAATTAGAAAGAAAAAAAAATCAAATTTATGGCAAATTGAACTGATCCCTATGAAGTTTATCATAATTACTAGACCTCCTCTCTAGTCCTTAAAGTTTATAAATGACCTCCCTTGAATGGTAAATTATTTGAGATAATTTTATCATATTTAATGTAGCATTTTTTTTTATGTGATGTATGTGAGTAAAAAGTTGATTGGAAAGTTTATTAATGATGCAAGCAAATTGACATGTGTAAATAAGGTATAAATAATATGTATTCCAAACACACTTATTGTTGCGTTGGAAAATTTATCGTCTAATCCTAAATCCATAGTAGAGACAATTTCCTTACATGTTAGTACCACCTAAAAGTGAATTGCAATTCCAACCCTTTTATTATGATTTAAATAAAAGAAAAAGTTGATATCAAGTTTAAAAAAAAAAGGAGAAAGTTAAAAAGAGGTCAACTCTAATTTCAAAAACTAAAGAGAAGGTAATGTAATTATGGTGACTTTTAAGAAAATCAGTGTAAATAAAGTACTAAAATTTAGAGCACAACTAGGAGAATATTATCACATCACGGTATTCTAGTGTTACATCCACTCCCCTGGCTCCTATACACACCGTCCAAGATAGCACGAGCCTGCCGTCATCTCCATCTCATCCGCCCCTTCCTTCCACGCTCCCCCAAAAAAAAAAAAAACTCTTCATTTTCAGCTCCCCATGCTTAGCATTATTTTAGCCTCACACTTTCTCCCAAAAGATATTTACATATTTCGAAAAATGGAAAAATTAAATAAAACCACATATATAATAATTAAAATCTGCTTCTGTTTCCTTGATAGGAACATCTGGATATGGATCTAGCAAGAGGGGGTAGATTTCATTACTAAAAATTGATTTTGATTTTTTTTTTTTACATTTTCCATTATATTTTCTAATTTATTGGTACAATAATGATGATCTAGAACATTCACTTCATCATCACTTGATTGCTTCTTACATATCCCTTCTAAGAAAAAAGGAAGGGAAAAAGTCCAAAATTACAAGGAAATTAAAAAAGAAAAAAAGAAAATATCCGGTTATATCTAGTATATAAAAGCTCCGACCGATACTATACTTTTTTTGTACTTCATAAAACAGTTAGAAAATTCCCAAAAGAAAAGGAAAAAGATCCAAAATTTTCAAGGCTTCTCCTTTAGAAGAGATGCCAAGCCGGTGACCATAACCCGGTTGCCCCTTTCACAACTCTTGGGTTTTATCACCGGCGGTTGCCACGTCCCGATCGCCGGCGTCGGCCCTTTTGAAACTTCGCCGGAAATCCTCGCCGGCGACGACAAAGACGACTCGGGTTTCTCCGACGGCGTCGTTTTCTCCCCAAAAATCAGCTCCAGTTCTCCACACTCACTCCTCGCCGGCGACGACAAACCTGACTTCGGTTCCTCTGACGGAGTCGTTTTCTCCCCAAAAATCAGCTCCAATTCTCCACACTCACTCTCTTCTGAAGCCTCCTCAACAACCACCTCCTTACTCTCATCTTTCTCCTCGGTTTCAACAACAACCTCCTCAGCTTGTTTTCCCTCAACTGCAACGGCATCGTTTTGAGGAGGAACGGTTGTCCTAACGTGCGGGCTGAGCCATTTAGCTTTCATGTACTCAGCTTTACGCCACGGCGCAATATGCATTCCTTTCTTCTTCAAGCTTTGTCTGGCGGCCTCTGATACAATTCCGATGATCTGCTGCAACCTGTCCACGTTCCCGACGAAAATGAACGGCAGAGCATGCAAGATGGCTTTGTAACTTCCGGTTGATCGAGCAATCTCAAACTCTGATCGGAAGTCAATGTCGATCAGCACTCTTTCCCCTTCAGTAATCACATCAATGTAATCATATTCGCCTGCATTTTAATTTGCCAAATACATCATCAGACCAGATACTCAGATATGGAAAGCGGAACCCCCTAAAATAATGGGATCAAAAACCAAAACTGGTAAGGCCCTGATGTGATCTAGGCAAATACCTCACAAAATTTTTTAAAAAAAAAAATTTTCCAGGCACCAATAATAGTGCTACTTAATTTATTTATGAAAATTTATATAAAGAGAAAATAGTAGTGCTAATTGTGTCAAAGGAAGGGGATACAAGTCAAAACCCACGACAAATATGCAAGAAATTATCAGGTAAAACTGCAATCCTTTTCAATTTCAAACCCAAAAAAAAAAAGAATCATAATTTATACTCATGTTTGGAGGCGAAATAAAACCCATAAACGAACAAGAAATATCAGCGTAAATATGGAAGGTTAGGAAAATAATGCAAGAAACTATCAAACTCCAGAATACAAATAGATTAGGATAGAGCATAAATTAGGAGAAAGAGAATAGGGGTCTACCGGCTGGAATGGAGGCAGATTTGTCCCATTTAGATTTGCAAATGGAAGCATCGTATCCAAGTGCTAATAGACCATCAGTCACAATTTTCCTCAAATCATCTTTCCTTTTGCAAGTTTTATTCTTTTCCACCATTTTTGAAGTATCAGCCAACAGATTCCTCTCCACAGTTGTAGAACAAGGAATCAAGCTCTACAGACAACAAATAAGCCAAGAATTAATCCCAAAATCAGCAAAAATAATTTCAAGAATTTCTCAAGAAACTTCAAGTTTTAAGGGAAAGGGGGCATTTTGATTATTACCTTGAGAAAATCAACGGAATCGCCAAAAGAATAAGAGTTTGAGTTAGTGACAACATCCCCAAATCCAAAATCAAATTCATCATCAGAACTATCATTGCTATTTCCATTGAAGCAATTGCATCTATTTCTCCCACATTTCTGAGCTGTCTGAGACTGCTTCTCAAAAGCATTCTCCTCAATGAAATTCTGCACCATATTATCTAGACAAACTGAGCTGAGCTCAAACTCCGGCACTCCTGCCGCCGGTGGGGATGGTGCTGCAAAATCTTTAACTTCGCCGGGAAAAGACGCTTGCTTTTCTGTTGTGGCTGATGATATCCTCAAAACACTGTTGAATGGCCGATCAAAAAGCCGTTTGAGCCGCGATTTAAGCACCGGCGGTGGCTTCAATGATTCCAGGTAGACTTGGTCGGAATCAATCGGCTGAACCTTCATCTGAAAAGGCATTTTTTTAAAAATCCCTCTACTCAAAATTCTCAAGTAATTGAAAAATGTAGCTCACTTTTTCACAGCCAAAAAAAAAAAAAACTAAAAATCTGAGCTACTCATCGATAAGAACCAGGAAAATTAATGCTTTTGCGGCCAAAAGTTAGTGTTCTCCGATCATCTACTGCATATACACAAAAATCTCTTCTTGGGAAGGCAAATTGGAAAAGAAAGAAAGATTTTTTTTCCTTTAATGGGGTGGACAATTTGTATCTGTACTAGGGCTTTTCACGGAAGACGTGACGGTGGTGGACTGAAACACGGGCATTTCGTTGATGGAGAAAGGAACAGTTCGCCGGAATATTCATTTTCCGGCTAGATTTCGACCGCCGGTTGGGTACTTCTGTTTCTCCCTTTTTTTCTTTCTTTGAATTCAAGTTTTTTCCTTTTTTTTTTTTCTTTTTCTTCGGAGATGTAAAAACTAGGAAAGAATGGATAGAGTAGAGGCGTTGGGCGTATTTATATAGGAAGAGATCAAGTAGCTGACTAGGATTTTCCCTGACACGTAAAATCCTACGTGGCAGAGAAGATTGGTTTGCTCACGTGACAGCAGTTGATTAGATTTGTCGTTATTCGAGAATTGTTTTGCGACACGTGTGATCAAGATGAAACGTGGAGACAAAGCAGTGGATGAGACTGGGTGAAATTACTTTTCATGACCTGCTGGATGCCCTCACTGCCCAGTGTAGCGTGGATGACATACTTTGTGAACCCCAAGGTTATCGTGTGAGGTCGAATGGATTAATTTTGAGAATTTTATAGAAAAAAGAATTTGATTAGGTGCGAAGTTTTGGCCCTTTTTTAAGAGTGATTGGGTGAAATGGGTTCATTGTTTGGGGTTAGTGGTCACACCTAATAAGGGATATGGGGATGGTGGGGCTGATTAATTAACCTAATTGCTGCTGATTAGTTTTCTTTATCAACTGTTTTTCTCAAAGCACAGCAAAAGAGCTTTCTCATAGATCAATGGAAGTACATTTGTTTTGGTGATGCAATGTAGCTTGCAGTACAACTATCGAACTCCATTTTGTACATTGCTATTGTAGTACACTACCACAAAAACATGAGGACCTTAACCTTGACAGGTGCAGTGTTCCTGTATGAATGAAACCCCTTGGCAAAGAGTGAAAAGCAAGAAAATGAAATTGTGGTACATCAATACACTCAAAAGCTCTTTTGGATTGCTGTTTTTAAGCGTTTTAGAAGAAAATGTACAATAGCGATTTAATGTATGTGAGATAAAAATAATTATTGAAAAATATGTTCACGTAAAATGTATGTAAAAGCTTGTCTACGAAAAACTACAATTCAAGCCTAATTTGTCTAACATATCCATAAAACTGCATATGCAACAATATATTGTCAAATGTGGCAATTTGACGGCAATAAAAACGCCTTTCAATTACAGTTAGACGTCACCAAAAATATATATATACAGACATGTGATTCCAATTAATGACTACCAAAATTTTCTTACTTTTTGGTAAGTCCTAATTTATGTGAAAAGTCAAAAGACTCTATCTTTAACGTTTAGTTATCAAGAACAGACTTGCGATGAAATATAAAAATTAGGGTAAAAATCTCAACCGCCATTAAACTATTGGTCGGATCATGTTTTGGCCATCAAACTATTTTTCATCAGTAATTGGCCACTAAACAATATGATCAATAAACTCGTGACTATTTGATCGATAATTACTATTAATCTGTGAAATTAGCAGTTAGTCTGTGAAATAGGATCATGTAGTTGTTGGACAAAAATTGCCCTCACACTTTGTCACGTGTATGGCTAATTTCACAAATTAAGAGCAATTATCGACTAAATGGTCACGGGTTTACTGATTAAGTTGTTTAGTGGTTAATTACTGACGAAAAATAGTTTAATGGCCAAAATATGATCCGACCAATAGTTTAGTAGTCGTTGAGGTTTTTTGCTCTAAAATTTTTTTTTATTTTATTTTACTATTATACATGATGACAAAGTAAATTTACGCGTTGCCTTCCAAGACACGGTTAAATGAGCATTTGAGAGGCGAATAGTAATTAAGACATTTCTTATCATATTAATGTATCATTATAATCTACAAAAGCTTATCTTTAATTGTAATGTGTAATTGTAATTAGCACAGAGATGTTTTTTTCGTTGTTCTATTACCATTTTCATAGTTTGTTGTAGATAAAGTCCTTGTGTCTTCTTCTATGATCAAAGAAACCACAAATTTCAGTTTAAACAATTTCAGAACTTTTAGGGTGCTCTATCTTATCATGCGCGGTTTTTTTTTTCTTTTTCTTTCATGATCGAAAAAAACTAGAGTCCTTAAATTTCATGTTAAAATAATCCAAAGTGTGCCATTTGGAAAGTTAGATTCCGATAGCATCACAGACTGGACATATATAAAACTCTCCGAATCGTGATTTTGTATTGTTTGGATTTATAAAAATTTGTAAAGGGATTTAAAAATCAGGGGTAAAAGTACCTATAAATTGTAGATATAAGGAGATAGAATACCGAGAGATGCAGAACAATTAGTAAGTAACTCAATCTGTAAGTTTCAAAGTCAATGTTTATAACATTTTTGTCTTCCGTTTGAATTGTTATTTTTAGAAGTTTTTGTAGAAAAATATACTGTACAATTTTGATGTATGCGAGATAAAAAAACGATTGAAAAATCTGTTCACGAAAAACGTAAACATTTTTCTGCAAAAAATCATAATCCAAATAAGGAACTCTGCTTTCATTCTTCTATGTCATTAGGAAAATAGAGAAAATATATATATATATATATATAATCTTTTAAACTGCTTTCATCCTTCTAGATATTAACAATATCTTAAAAATTGAAATATCCCTCACCAATCCAGGGAGCAATAGTGTTAATGAAGTGTTGTTTATTGTTGTGTGTTCGTGTACTACAATCATTGATTGAGTATTTTAGACATATAAGTCACCCTTTGGTTTCCTTATCACCACTTGAATGCGTATTCTACGTTCTGATTACAACATCTACGAGGGTAGTATTAGTCTCTATATATTATACGTCTACACCTGTAACTATATATGCTACAGTTTCTGATTGCAATAACAACATCAGTATCATCCAGCTGATCAGACTCAGAGAGAGTAGCATTAGATGCATTTCTCTTCTATACATTTTTGGATTACGAAGTTTCATGCATGCATGTATGGTGCCAGTGGTCCTCCAACTTCAATATTGCAATCAATTTATGAACAAATTTTTAATGGGGATTCTTGCATCAAGTGATGAACTTCAGCATCAGTACAGCTAAAGCATGATGATAATGGAACCAAGAAATCAATTGGCATGATGTATATGTATAGCGCAGCAGCTGAGTCATGATATGTATGACCTTTGAGTTGCGGATACTTCTCCTTTTACTTAAAATAGAAATTCAGTTTTTCTTCTTCTTTTCTTTATTCAAATAAAATTTGTTTCGAAGCGTTTCAGTTCATTTTTACCTAGGTTTAAAATTATTTTTTGTTAAAGAATTTGAGCTGTACTTCTCTTTTATTCTCCAATATTTTTTGAAAAAATTTTACATTTTTCATAAACACATTCTCAATTATTTTTTTATCTTATATACATCAAACCTCTACAGTGTGTGTATATATTACAAAAACTCTAAAAAAATAGCAATTCATATTGATAATTTTCAAAGTATGTGCAAGCTTTGGCTTGAGATTTGATCCTCATTGTGTTAAGCCATGCGTCAAGGCCGAAATCAGAAGGAAACTGTAGATGGCCCACAAACACTGCACTTTCTTTCTTGACTGTAAAAATGTTCTCTTTACTTGATGCTACTTCCAAAACCCTAACCATTCCATACCATACCATATCTGCATATCATACCATACATAAAAAGGACAACCACCACCTCTAGAGTCTATAAATATGGAGACAATGGACAAGTGTTGATGAGAAAGGTAATAATGTGATGGCGCCTTCTTGACAAGTATACCACACAGTGACCATTTGAAGTTTTGGAGCTTTCTGCCTTTCTATTTGCCTTTGCTTTACCACAAGTACCCTCCAAACCCCAAAAGTCTCCCACGCCATTGAAATAAGCGATAGTTTTTTAATATTTTTTTATCTCATATACATCAAATCAATACAGTGCATATTTTTACAAAAACTCTAAAAAAAAATAACAATACAAATGGGCTAAAATTTCTCGCCTTCCAGATGTCCAATTTTGAAACAAATACAAGAGACAATATAATTGCGACGTTATCAGCACCCCACTTTTTTTTTTTACTAGATTCTCTTTCTTGATTTCACTTTCAACAGCGGAATTATTTTAGTGAAGATGATTTCTTTCGGTTTGGTGCGGTTGTGCCCGTCGCGTAAATGGCCAATCGCGATTCGAGTTCGCCACAAATGAACGATATAGAAGTCTTGGTAGGGAATTTAAATGGTGCTATCAATTCTTGGAAACGGTCAAGCTAGCTAGGCTATAAAGGTAAATTGCAAGGTGGGATGGGGAGATTGATAAGGACAAGAATTTGGTCAATTTACATGGTGTACATGGACTCGTTAAGATTGAAGAGTCGGTTTGCTATCCTGATCATAAATAAATTGGGTCAATTTGTTTTAAAATAACTTATCTTGATAAAGAATAGTACTCCATACATCTTGAAGCATTTGAATTTGGTGGACGTGTCTTTTGTAATAATTTTTAGTTCAAGTGAACTTTTAGCGAGTTTTTCTTTTCAAGTTTTGGTAAACGATGGTGGAATTTCCTTTTCTCTTTTATAATGGTTCACACAGAGTGCATTATGCTCACACAAATTAAGTGCCTATATTGGATGCTAGGCCAATGTAGATCATTGGTGGGATGAAGACTTGAAAATTGTGCTCAAGGTTTTATTTTGTCAAAAAAAGAAGGGGGAAAAGGGAAAAAGACCCTGAATACAAGAAGTTCATACGGCAACCATGTGAGGTTAGTAATGTTTGGTTACTAACTACTGTTGAAAATGGACATTATATTCCCTCAATCCTGAACTAATTAGTTGAAATGCCTATAATTCTTTAATGAATTAATAATTTTCGTCGATATTTTACATTAAGTCATATTAGACTTTAAAGAATTCGGTGTTAAAGTTCACTATGAGAATGAAGCAAGTCAGGAGAATAAGTTTAGGGTTTGATTTATTGCACAAGGAGCTTCTTTTCATTTTCCTTTTGATTAAAAAAGAAATTGGATGGACTTGGCTCCCATTACCACCATAGGTCAGAGATTCTTATAGGTTGCCCATCAACACAGTCCGTATATTATATTAGTAGCAAAATTTGAACACACGATATCTTTGTTAGAAAGTCACCTGCTCTTACCAATTAAATCAATTTGTGTTAGCATTGCACGAGTAGCTTCTGCCCTAGAGAGCGAGTGGAATATGGAAGTTGAG